CCCCCCCGCCTTCCTCAGGGCCTGTGCCCGGGGCAGCCATGGCTGCCCCAGGAGAGGAGCTGCCCCTCATCGCCCAGTGATCCCATTGCTGCCCCAAACACCTCCCCCTGCAAGGACTGGGCCCACAGTGCTGCTCTCTCCAGAAGCTCAGAGGGCTCTTTCCTTCCCCTCACCTGCCCAGGGCACCGTGAGGCTGCCAAGATCTCGGGGAGTGGGGAAATGGCTACCTCACCCCCTTTGGCGAGGCGGTTTGGAGGGAAGCTGTGAAACTTCTTGCAGTAATTACCAGCACGCACAGGCTAAAAAAGCCCTTTTTGTTTCTTTTATATAAAAGGGGAAAACCCCCGCTGCGGGCACCATCGCGTGAGAAACCGCAGCTAGATCCATCAATGGAATAATTCCCATTGGAACGTTCAGGGCAGCTCCCCAAAACTGTTAGGCACAACTTGGATCTTCCTATAGGGGCTCACAAAGACACAGCTGGCACCAAGCTGGAGGCTGGAGATAACGTGACAGGGCAAACACAGCATTAAAATTCAGGTGACCAGCTCCCAGGGGTTGTTAGGTAGGTCCATCCTATGTGATGGGTGTTTTCCCCCCAGCATTTCACCTCCATGAGACCAATTAGTAACTATTTCAGCATCTATGTAGTGTTTTCCTTCTGCCAGGAGTCCCTTGCCCTCCACCATGAGGGCTTCTACTGAAAGCCTGGCCACACACACCCTCTGGGTTTAGAAACAACAAGGCCAGAACAAACCCTAGTTTTAGGCAGTTGGGGTTGGTTGGGTCGTTGTTGTTTTTTTTCCACCTTGCAAACTTTCGAGTCGAGTTTGTGATGGAGGCATTTGACTCATCGTTTCTAACGTTCAGACTCCCAACAGCAAAGCGCCTTGATCTCGGGCTCGTTCCGGCAGCCGACGTGACGTGACTCCTCGGGGCCGCTGAGCCTCGCGGCCGCGCCAGCGACCATCCAAAGGGAGCTGGAGGTCTGGGAAAAACCCCGTTTGGCCCCGCGCGTCCTCCCGCTGGAGGACCCACAGCTTCACCCGCAGGGCCAGGGAATGGCAGAGGTCAGGAGCCACCCGAGCCAGCCGTATCCAGCAACCGCTTTGCTAAACCTCCCTCCCTGCACCCCTGGAGCCTTCTCTGCAGCGTTGCTGGTTGGGGAAGGCCAGGGCACCGCTCCACATCTGATCTCGGCACGGTTCAGCTTCAAGAACTATTCCTCAACTGTTTCCTAATTGCCTGCCTGCCCTCCCACCTAGGCTGAGCGCTTGTTTTTTTTTGCCAGCATGAGAGCAGAAAAGCAGGCTCTCTCCAAGAAAGCCTTCTCGGGCCTCGGAGAGCATGATGTACTTACACAGGCATCCTGC